TATTTCAGAACATTCCCACGTGATCTTCCTTTAACTCATGAACATAGAACCACGGCCAACGTGTTATTATAACGTATTACATTTTATTACTTCAAAGTGGAGGGAGAGGTTATGGCTATTTTAAAAAGCTGTCAAATGACTTGCGTGTCTTGTTTGAGACATGCACCCATGACAATACTTCCCTCTTTTAGCAATACACTTTCATTTTTTTTGTCCCAAAGAAAATATAGTTCTGGTGATTTTCTGCTAGACGAAAACAGACGAACATGAATGAAATTAATTTTTGTTTGATTTCTGGCTCGTGAACAGTCGAGTATGAGGAAAGCTGTTTTCTGTTTTCTTTTTGGAGCTGCTTACTCACTCCGTCAACGGATGGCAGGAGACTGCTTGGTCAAACACGCCATTTCTAAATAAACTTCAATCAAAAATGGGAACATGTGATGGATAGGCGTCGTTAAACCTAAAACTGGCCTAACTCTTTGATGAAAGCCGATGATTATGGCAATGCTGATGTGCTGAAGGCCAGAATCTTCCTGCCCAAGAGATTAACACTGATTAAAGTAACTTACTGTAAGAGCTTCTTATTAACGCAGTTACAGCTTACGTCTGATTAGCATTACTTAGTCGATTGCCCTCTGATTTAACAATTCAGCTTGACCGCAACATCGCCCTCCCTGCTTTCACTCTACCCCCTACCTCTCAGCCATTTTTTGCGCGTTGTATTCAAGGCCCTGAGTAATCAGTAAGAACCTATGAAACGTCGGTGAGTTTCTACGATACTACACGTGACGAAGACAAAGGCTCACGATTTACATTAATTAGTTAAGAACACGAGTGAAAATTGAATTGAAAATGCGGGCTTCACTTCCCATAAACATCCACGATTTCAGGGGCATACTGACCTTCTTAAGGACGAAATATTTGTCAATTAGTCCAAGCCTGACGCCCTTCGAAAGGGCCGCGATGTAACCTTTCCTGATGTCCTGGTCGTGGTTGACCCACCGGAGAATGCACTCCCACACAAATCTCTCTTCCTTCATGTTCAGTTTATCGGACCCGATTATTGCTTGCAGTTCCTCTGCAGACAGTTCCAGCAGTTCTTTGTTCTTCTCAGACATTTCCACGAAGTGGCTCAGAATGAAGCGACGAGCGTGAGTCTCGAGGTCAGCGCAGTAGTGTAACCTGCCACAGCGAGGGTAAGAATCGATCTCCGTAAACATCTGACACATTTTAACACTGCAGCAAGAACTGAATTCTGAAGTGTTACCACACCACAGTATTTCGCCTCCAGTTTTTATCTTAGCCGTTTTAAGCCCGAATCAGCGAGACTGAGAGGAGAGACGTGGAGAGGCAACGGTGAGAGACGCTCCGTTTAACCGGGGCAAAATAGAAAGTTTTCGGCTCTGAAGGTTCCCAGGCAATGCCCGCTCGTCCTCGTGATAAGGATATAGGTTGAAACAAGGGCATAGCGTACGCAAGTGAAGAAGGCAGTGAGATGAGAATTGTAGAACTTTGAATTCTGGCATTAACCTTGGCGAAACGACATTGTGTTAATTGTGTGTATTAATCCAGTGAAACCGTGTTTAACCGGACTGTATTGGGGATACACGGGTCCTATAAGCCGATAAGTCGGATCTGCGTGGGAAAG